TTAAAATATCACAATGTAATTAATGTTGATGGTGAATATTATATCGGTATATACCTATATACATATATCAGGAATCACATATATAAACCAATGTTCAATCAAAATTAATATTGTTACTCAAAACAACTAAACAATACTTATTGTATATTAACATTCCGATTAGTTTCTATAGGAGTTTTTAGTTATTCATGTCTATTTTGTCTGGAATCATCAAGAGAATCATCTGAATGATCTTCAAAAGAGAAGATGATCTATCCTTGAATATGATTTGATCTTACCGTAGGTATATATACTCCTGATACTATAAGTATGATCCAGTTAAACAGTGATATTTTGAGACATCAGATTCTACTATAGTATAGTACTAAGTATCATTCTAGTTATTCTGCTTCATAAATCCAGTCATACCTGTGGTATTATCTACTCAAATAATACGATGAGTAATTTCTAAGAATGTATTTATTTAGCAAAACCTCGAGTACACAATTACCGCGCGCCCTCAGGCTAAGCTCATGCGTTGTATACTGACACTCCCTTGGTTATCCGAAGCACTGGTGAGAATGCATGCGTGCAAGACTGGTTGTCTAGCTAGCAGCCTGATAGCACATCTTTCCTCTTATATAATGAACTGATAATAAAGCATCATTTTCACCTGTACATCAGCTAGGAACTAATCAACATAATCTCTTAAATAAGCAGGTTTTTTAATTTCCCGCTTTGGCCTATTAGGGGTTACAATTCTGGGAGTATTTAATTCTGGCTTTTTACTATTCAATAATTCTTCCGTCTCACCACGAAAGAGATCCTGAAAATCTTCACCTGTAGACGACATTTCACTACTCTCTGGCGTGACACTATGACGAGAATCGCGACACTCACTATTTTGTGACATGGAAGATAAGTCCTTAGTTAAATTTTTGTCTGAACATATTCGTGGTATTTCCTCGGGTGTTTCAGTCCGGGTGTTTGAAAAATGATAGGGTGCATAAATCAAATGCCAACGATTACGGCGATATTGCCCAAAATCTGTCTCAACGACATATGAACGCGGTTCCTCGCAAATTTCAATGACTTTGCCATATTTTCGAATATCTACCACCCACACTGAATCACCCACAGTTAGAGTGTCCATATCTTTAGCATTATGGCGTTTGTTGTAATTACTTTCCAGCTTATCTTTCAATTGTGCTTCTTTTTGCAGATATTCTGACTGAGAATTCAGTGGTTCATTTAGTTTGCTTGGCAAAATTGGGAGCGTAGAACGCAACTTTCTGTTCATAAGAAGTTCACTAGGTGCAAACCCATGCTCCAAAGGACTCGTCCTATAAGCTAATAATGCTAGAAATATGTCATCTTTGTTCTTTTTAATCAATCGCTTAGCTGTTTGCACAGCCCTTTCTACCCCTCCTTTACTTTGTGAGAATTTGGGGCTACTAGTGACATGAACAAAATCATATTTTTGTGAAAACTCTTTAAACTTTCTAGAAAACTGCCCTCCATTATCCGATCTCACAATCTCAGGGATTCCATACCTGGCAAACAGCTCTTTCATTTTGTGTATGATACCTTCTTCTCCCAAGCTACTCAATTCAAAAAATTCGAAAAATCTTGAATAATAATCCACAACGATCATGTACCATTTTTCCAGCTTATAAAAATCAACTGCAATTTTTTGCCAGGGTCTGCTAACTGTTTTATCTTTGTGAAAAGTTTCTCTGATATTTTGTCTATGTTCCACGCAATTTGGGCAATTTTTTATGAGATTCTCTATCTGTGTGGATAGACCAATCCACCACACGCTCATTTTAGCACGCTCACGACATTTAACAATCCCCACAAGTGACCAGTATGGATGAATTCAATGACTTTGAGTTGTAAACTACTAGGGATAATTATTCGGGTATCCTTAAGAAGTAAATTTTCGGAATAGGAGATATCATACCTATGTTGATAATAAGGCAAAATTTCGAGGGGTAATTTCGATTTTTCCGGCCATGACGTAATGGAGTACTCTTTAAGTTTCTGACAAACAAAATCGTTTTCTTGTTCTTGTTTTATCAACTTCAAAAAGTAACTTTTTATTGGTAAATTTTTTATGATAGCTCTGACAAAAGTATCTACTTCTATCTGAAGCTCGTCCTTGATATTTTGACTTTTAATTGGCCCGCGACTCAGAGTATCCGGTATAATGAGATTTTTTCCCGGAGTATAAATGACTGTGAATTTGTATCTCATCAAACGCATCCTGAATCTTTGCAACCTTGGTGTCAATGAGTCTAAATTTTTAGTCTGTAAGATTTGCAGTAGAGGTTTATGATCCGTTTCGAAGATCAAATTTTCGACTCCTGATATGTAGTCAGAAAAATATTCAGCTGCCCATGTTTGAGCGAGAGCCTCTTTTTCGATCTGGGCATACCGTTTCTGCTTGACTCAACAATCTTGACCCAAAAGCTACGATTTCCCTTGATTTATCAATATTTTCCTGTAGAAGGCAACACCCTAGCCCAAATGAACTCGCATCTGCGCTGACAATTATCGTTTTATTCGCGTCAAAAAAAGCTAAATTAGGAGGTTTTTCTAAAATCAATTTAATTGTGTTGAATGCCTTGTCTTGAGCCACTCCCCATAAAAACTCATGGTCTTTTTTAAGTAGGGACGTCAATGGTTCTAATAATTCAGATTTATTGTTTATGTATTTGGAGGTGTAGTTGATCATTCCTAGAAGGCGCATCAAGTCGGTCTTATTACTAGGAATAGGAAACTCACGAATTGCTTTTACCCGGTCCGGGTCTACAGAAATACCTTCTTCCGAAATGATGTGGCCCAAATATTTTATAGTTTTCGTCCCTATCACACATTTTTTTATATTTAAAGTTATACCCTCCTTGTGTAATTTTGTTAGAACTTTTTCCAAGATTTCATCATGTTTTTGGATGCTACTAGCATGAATCAAAATGTCGTCCATATGATACACTACCCCCTCTAACCCAGTTAAAAGTTTTGAAAAATTCAACACAAAATATTCTGGCGCGCATGATATCCCGAAAGGAAGTCGCTTGAAGTAAAACCTACCGTATGGGGTGATAAAGGTTGTTAAAAGTTGACTCTCTTTATTCAATCTAATCTGGTAAAAACCGCTAGTGGTATCCAATTTTGAAAAATAGACTGACCCGCTTAGCTGTGCCAGGGTATGTTGCACCTTTGGAAGTGGATAATGAGAGCGGAGAACATTTTCATTTAATTTAGTAAAGTCACAGCATAGACGAACTGAGTCGCCTTTATCTACGCAAACAATGGGGCTTACCCATGTAGTAGGAATCTCCACTGGTTCAATTATATTTAATTTCAGAAGCCTATCTAATTCTGCACGTAACTTAGGTAAAAGAGCTAAGGGAACTGTACGGGGTACAGACTGTACAAATGGCTTAGCGTCTGGCTTGATTTGAATTGACATTTCATTCTTAAACTCTCCTATCTCACTAAAAATACCTGGGAACTTTTCGGAAACTAAATCTAAATTAAATCTAGACAGATTCTCATTATGTTTCATAACATTTAAATCTGAAATATAGTCTCTAATGAAACAAACGTTTTTTGTTGGAAAATTCAAGACTTTGAACCTAATTATTGCTTTTCTGCCCAAAATTGGCTGTCTCAACTTCCTAACTATGTAGATAGTTTCTTCACTTGTAACCCCCTCATATGTCAGGTCAATTTTTATTCGACCCACAGTATCTAATTTATGGTCATCAGCAGCCCCTATGGGGTCACATGGTGTAATCTTCTTGAGAAGGTCACTTGGAAGCATTTCACATGGCAAACAGTTCACATCAGCGCCAGTGTCCACAAAGAATGGAACTGAATGTTTATTATTTAATAAAATGTCTACATACCACCTATCTTGTTCATCAAGGTATACCTGACCAATGAAATTTCTTGTACCATTTACATTTTTGGTAACTTGAGATACATTACGCTCCTCCAATTCTTCTGAGCTGTCTGATTCCTGGTCTGAATCCTGGCACTCCACAACACGTACTGATTTCTTCTTACTTTTACACATAGCGCTCCAGTGGCCCCGTTTCGAACAAGAACGACACACAGCCCAGCTAGCACAAAAACATTCCATCAATGTTGACGTAGTATAACTCTCGGAATTTGAATAGACTGCGCGATGTTCTTTGAGAGTTATTTGGGCTTTATACATGTACCGCCAAATGTCCGCAACGCGAGATTTTAGTAGAACATCTCTGGTATGACACAAGAAACATCAATGTTATGTTTGGGAGTTACATTGAGAAAATGTTCTGATGAAACCTTCCTGGGATATTATATGTAACATATAAGAGATGATTACTAGTAACATTTGTGTGATTTTCAATGTGACATCACAAGATAATTAAAAAATATTCTTTTAGAACATTACATAGTGTCATTCATGGCACATTAACGGCAAGGTATGGCGAATGTTACTTTGTGACATAATATAGATGTTTAATGAACTGTACCTAGTATATATTCATTTGCATTTTTGATGAATTAAAAATACGAATTTTCGAATTTATTTTGTCATGTTTCTTGTATACCAGGTGACCCAGGAGTATCCCTCTGTAACTTTCTTAGTTCCACTGACAAAAATATATAGGTTTTTATATGAAACAGCAAAAATTGATATCACCAGAAGTGAGAATGTCTATTCATAGAGATGTCATGAAGTATAATTTTACATGTAATGGATATTTCATTCCAACAACTGAAAAAGTTACAGAGGCTACCCAGCTCCTGGAACATCCAGAATAGAACACCATGACTAAAACAATCGAATCTTTTCACCTATTATTAACACAAAAAATCGTACCCCTAAAGTTAAGCACTTTATCATTTTGTTTCACAGAACTTTCTCATGAGTTCGAAGAATAAAATATTAAGATACAAAATCAAATATGAAATTTATTCAAACAAAAAGTTCAAAATTCAGTTTATGAATACAATAATATTGATTATTCCAACAAAGTTCTTTTATTCAACTTCAGAACCTCCCTAAGCTGCCGCTGTTTTCCGTGCCGAAACCATTCAGCTACATGTTGCTCAAACTCTTTAGCATTGCAGCCCTCATTAATTCTGATAACTCCTAGAAAAAATGGTTCAATTACACCTAACCTAACCTGGTCTAAAGATATTAAGTAAATGGTGTTTCTGATCAGCAAGATATGTTATCAGACAAGAGCCGGATTTTTGCATGGGCACTATAGTTCTTTATCAGTATTGCATATGGAACAAAGTTTCTTACCAAATATGATTCTCATGATTTGTAAATGGCCCAGTTCAAAGTTATTTTTTCGTCCTGTCCAAGAACATAATTCCGATAGGGCATTGGTGAAAACTTGTTTCAACACTCTTGTGATGAAATCTTTGGTGTCTTTTCCACCAATCGATTTTACAAAGTTAGTCTGAAATTAAAATATGAGTATGAAAAACTAAGAAAAGTAATTTTCAATACTTATCTAAAGATAACACAATAATGATAATAATACTAATGATAGCTGATTTTAGTAATATACAGGAAATTTACATCAAAATTGAATATTGATTGAAAAATATTAGAAAACTAAACCTATTGAATGAGTCTTTCATCTGAAGAAACATTTGTTAGTGAAACATGTGTTTTGAAGAATCATGTGAAATTCGTATGTTTGTGAAGTTTCAAGTTATAATTATTATTTTCAGCATTTTCAGCAAATATATAGTACCCAACAACCAAGTCAATACAAAAAAAATTATAATTTTACTTACGAAACTTTGTTTTCCTTCTTCTGTTTTGACAAAAGCTTCCAGTGTCTCAATTTCTGGAAGACTTTTCAATGGCAATACCATTGGAAATACTATTTCTTTCTCTGTAGCAATGGGGCCTTCGTTCATTCTTTGTTTAATTTCCATAACATCAATCTTCATTTCAATTAGCATGTTCAATATTTTTCCAAGATTTGTGTGAATGGAGTGTATATCTTGATCTTAAATAATAAAAAGTATTTCAAGATTTGGAAACAATAGTTTCCGACTACCATTGTTAAGTATACTTACCCAAGACACAGCTTCAGGAACAAGCTTAATCGATAGAAATCAATCTTTCGATAAATATGTATATTTTACACACACAACACCCTGCAACAACACCTGCTACAACTGAGGGGCAAAACGTAGGCTAAACGACCTAATCAAAGCCAAAAGCCATTATTAGTTTGTTTATGCCAAAAGCCAAGAACTAACGCTAGAAAAACCGCCAAACCCAAAACCATAACACTTTAGAGAAAGAGTGAGGTTAGGAAATTTTTATATGTTCTTCTTTTTTGTTATGTGGGACATTCGTGGTTCGTTCGGAAATACATAACATGTTACTTAACATTTTGAGTACAGTGTAATGGACTGGTAATGGACGAGAAACGTTTTGAAGGGATAATAACAGATTATATTACTCATATGTCTACTAGACATTGTGCATGAACATAACTTAGTGAGGTGAATTCAATTCCAAAAAGGTTCATTACATTTACTTCTCTAAAGAACATCTGAGGAAAGTAGTTCATTAAAGTCCCACTAATGTGAAGGTCATGTAGAATTGAAACATCACATTATTCGAAATATGTTTCCTTTGGGAGCGCACGGATACATTGGTAAAACCTTATATTAATGTACCAGTTGATATTACATATGTTGACTTAAACAGAACATTGCTGAAAAGCCCAGTTATGTTTGTGCTAGCTGGGAGATGTCTTTGCAGGGCATTTTTCCCGATCTTCACACTGATACATACCACAGTATGCACATTTATTTGCATCGTCTGTAGTTGTGGACATTTTGTACTTAATTTTGTTTTTGTTGAACGTTTTCTGCTTATTTCCTGCACTATCATGCTTCACTGCACTAACTGACTGTTCCTGCCTAATAATTTTGTTTTGTGAACTTTGGAGTTCAGCTTGTCTCACTGCTGTTATGGCCTCAGCCAATGTCAATTTGTCTCTCAACTGTAAACGTTCACTGACCTTGATATCTGCTACCCCAATGACTATTCGGTCCCGAATCAGCTCATCCTTTAAGGTGCCATATTCACAGTGCTCTGCCAAGGCATGTAAACTTGTTATAAAATTTTCTACCGGCTCACCGGGTTTTTGTACTCTTGCATTGAACTGGTATCTCTCAAAGATGATGTTTCTTTGAGGGATAAAATGCTGATCGAATTTTGACAAAATCTCAGCATGTGTTTCGTTCCCGGTTAGGTTTTGCTGTAACAAAATTTCTTCTGCTTCGTTACCCATTAAATAGACAAGCATGTCTATCTTTTCTTTGTCGCTTTTCCTGCTAAAACCGCTCACCGACATATAACGTTCAAAACGTTTCTTCCACTGAGACCACTGCTGTGGTTGAGTGAAATTAAATTCTGACGGCGCCTGGACATTCGCAAACATCTCCGGCGGGTCCATTTTGAGGTTAACTTCTGAAGGAAAGTAAATAAAGCTCGATCACTCACTTGTGCGACGTATTTGAGGTCTCACAAGGCACCGCTGCCACCATGTGGTATTATCTACTCAAATAATACGATGAGTAATTTCTAAGAATGTATTTATTTAGCAAATCCTCGAGTACACAATTACCGCGCGCCCTCAGGCTAAGCTCATGCGTTGTATACTGACACTCCCTTGGTTATCCGAAGCACTGGTGAGAATGCATGCGTGCAAGACTGGTTGTCTAGCTAGCAGCCTGATAGCACAATACCTAGCTTTGCTATATGATTTCTGCATAATTAGTGATATTTTACTGAAATTCTGAAAAGTAATAGGAAATATATACCTATAGGTACGAGTTTTTGGAAGTTTCAAGAATTATTTCGAAATTCCATTCTATGTTCTTTTTCTTGCTATGATAATATATAACTCACCCATTATTTTTGTAATTCATGAAATATGGACACAATATTTCAGCAGAGCAAACCTGCAATCTAAAATTATGATAAGCAATACATATTTTCTCTCGAATTTATTTGAGTCCAAGACTTGTATACTTTTTAACTTACATTAATAACTACTAATAATATCTGAAAATCAATATTTTCATTGTAGAATGTCCATGCAAGGACGTCCTTGGCATGTGCCTGATGGGATATGATTTTAAACGTTCCTTTAGGGACATCCATCGGATGTCCCGAGTAGCACATATTCAGGCATGACTCAAGATCTCATATAATGTCCCTAATGGTACATTCCTTCAAATATCTCTGCACAGACGCCCTTAATATTTCCAGGATCGTATAACAATCGAAATGTCTCATAAGGATATCCTTCGAATGTCCCTTATTTAGGGATATCCATCGGATGTCCCAATTGGTACATGAACTGTACTCTTTCAATGTTCTAGAAATAACATCCAACGGACGACCCAGTCGGTACTTTCAATATGTTGTCCCTGCGAGGACGTTAACTCACACCTCGTCGACGAATGATTGCTCGTAGGCTATAAATACTTCTCGTCAATAAACTTCACGTTACTCCATTGGACATCTTTGGGAAACTTTTTCAGGATCTATTGGGAACCTTCTACGGACCATCAACTCAACTCATCAGTTATGCAAGATCTGGTCCTAGAGGGACCCAGGAGAATTCATATTCAAGAATAATTCGTACGTCCCTGGGACATCCTATGGACATCCAATTGATATCCCTCAACGTTGCTGATAGGTTGTCCTATGGATGTCCTAAGGATGCCCTCTGTAGTACTTGATGAGGAATACTGTAGGATTCAGGTATTCGATAGTTGTCCCAGGGACATCTCTCAGGGACGTCACTAGTTGGTCCTCAAGTGGGACATTTGTGCGTCCCACAGGCGTCCAATGGACGTCCACGGTACCAAATTCGAACGTCCTATGAACGTCCTGAATGTCCCGACAGGACGTCCTAAGGATCCATTGGACATAAGTGTTATTAGGGAGCTTCCAATAAGTTTCATTTGTAAATTTCGCTTCCTTGATTATTGACCTGTTGAAAAAGTCTTGCTGTTTGATAGGCGGTCACTACACTTCGCAGCCTTACGAGGCGTCATGGGGTCAACCCACTTCTACTGAACGAGAGCAATGCCTTTCCTCGGAATATTATTGTATTCCCACAAACATTTCTACTGCCTGGAATTGATAAAATAACCAGCGAACTGCAATATAATTTGCTGAAGCCCACTTTTCCATATAGTATCCTTGTTTTCAATTACCCAAAATCACGAATCCGCCATTACAACATTCGATGAACTTGATCGCTACGACGATGGCCGATCAATGAACTGAATATAAACAACGTTCATTGTGGCCGATAGGGGTAGAGCGTGGCGATGGCATAGTACGAAATTGTACGAAACGAAGACACACGAAGCCACGGAGCACGGATTGACCAATCATAAGCATCTGTATGTCTTGACGTGGCGCGCCAATATATAACATGTATATAGGCACTTGGTATAACCATATTTGTATACATTTAATAAATTCTTGAATCTTTCGTATCTGTTTCCAAGTTATCCCTATCAGGGTGTTTTTTATTAATATTTGTTCTATAGACATATTTCACCACTTAGGTTTATCCATGTCGGGTATACGTGAATCCTTTTACTAATGGTTACTTTGAAAAGCGTTTAATCATGAGTCCTGGATATGCAGTTCATGATGGAGTAATTTCTTCGAAGTAAAACAACATGATTGGTGCAGATGTTACGTCTAAATGACGTCAAATGACGTCTATCAGATACGTTTTTGGAACACGTCATTTATTGGTCGAATCTTGACGACGACCAATTGCCACCTATTATCCACGTCGATTCGACGAGAATTGACTTCACCCTGCTGGCTCTGGGAAAGGGACGTACCTAGGACATCCCTGTGTTGTTGGGGGCCGATTGATCGACGGATGTCCCGTCAGCTCAATGGCCGTGTACACCTTAGTAGAACTTTTAACTCAAACCATGTTTATATAATGATCCTTTTATACATAAATAATGATTGACGACATAATTCGATCGAAAAATCGACTGGAATGTTTTATTTTTGGACATAAATAATAGTACCTTCTGAAAACGGACCCTCTTATGACGTAGAAACCTCATCTCGCCATAGTTAAAAGAAAATAGGTACTAAACGCCCGACTGCCTACTATTCTTTGCTAATTCACTCTGTCAGAAATCATGAATCATTCATCTTTGTCTGGAATAGTCTTGTTTCAGTATTAGGGTTTTGACGTCACATCATCGCCTCGTTTTCAGAGGTCCGAAAAATCGGGGATTTCAATAATTTTTTATAAAACGTAGGGAAGCTCACAGCAAGAAACGGTTTGCGGTGGTGAGCTAGTTTGGGTGAGTTCTATCGAATTATGAAATAAAATTCTTTGTGTTAAGTTGAAAAACAGTGTTTTACAGTGAC